AACTGTGGCCCTTCCCTGCCCCAGCCTGAGGTACTCCCCCAGGCTACTTCTCAGAAGTCATGGTGGTGGGCCACACTGGGTAACTCTCAAGGTGAAACTCTCCACAGAAGTTCCCTGTGGAAGAATTTACTAGGATCCTAGGTGGCCATCATTTTGTAGGACCTTTTCAAATCCCTACTGTGGCCCTGGTGTCTGTTAGGCTGTGGAGGGGGGACATGCACTGGAATTTCAGGGAAGCTGGCTAGGGAGGCATAGCCATCCCTTCACCGTTTGAACACGGCCTCATTTTTGCTGTGTATTTTATCACATGCAAGTGGGTGTGCCTTTTGTTCTTTCCTGATTATAGAAGTATTACTACTTTTAAAGAAGTATTATTACTCCCACTTTTCAGAGATGACCTCTCTTAATATTTTGGTAATTTCCGTACAATCGTGTGTGCGCAGTGTGTATGGTTGTGTGTGTGTGTGTGCGCGCGCGTGTGTGTGTGTGTGTGTGTGAGACAGAGACAGAGAAATGGTGAGCAGAGAGAGATCTCCAAATTGGCCTCATCTTTGTACACAGCATGGAATAAATAATTTTATTCTCTTAACATCGAGTCATGAATGTCATTGGGTACTTGTGAACATATGACGTGGACGTGGCTTTTTCAAATAATTTCCAAGCTGATGGGCCCCCCTCGGCTTTCCAGTGTTATCAGTATCCCTTTCCTTGTCCATGTCTTCATCTTCCACTATTTCCTTAGAACAGATTCCCGAGGTGGGAATTGTGGTTCAAATAGTAGGAGTGTATTTGCTGCCTTTTGTGCCTGTTGCCAACTTGCTTTGCTTTTCCAGAAAAGTTGCCCTCCTTGATGGCAATGCACTGTGTGACCCAAATCAGATCCTATGAAATAGCATGATTTTCAAAGCATCTGCTAATTTTGATCTGTAAAGTGACATTTTTGTGGCTAGTTTCAGTCGTAGGAACTGGAGTGCTGGTGGTTTTAACTATTTTCATGTGGATACATTCTCCATTTGCGCTTCTTTTGGGCTCTAATTCCATGCTCATTCTGTGATCGCTTTCCACTTATTGTTTTGTAAAAATTCTTTAAATATTCGCCACATAAATCCTATTGCTTATGTTTCGAAATGGTTGGTGACTTGTCCTTTGCTTTTGTTTCGGGTGTCTACTGGAGAAGCGTTGCGTTTCTGTGTATTCAGGATTGCAGCCTTCCCTGGCTCGCATGTTTGGAAAGATCATCTGGGGGATCATCCCCTAACCCCCAGCACCTTTGAAGTTTCTTCTTTAATGGCTCCATGTTTCATATTTAATTCTCTAAGCCATCTGGAATTAATCTTAGCCTAGGTTGAAGTGAAGGATTTAACTTCTTCCTCCTCTCCCCTCCCCAAAGCTAACCATCTGATCTGGCTTTATTGACTAATCCTTTCCAAACTTTTAATGTGCAAGACATTCTCCCACTCTGCAGGATGGGGGGCGGGGAGAGGGGAAGAGAGAGAGAAGAGGAGAGATTGATTCTCTGCACCACACTCCCAACCTACCAGGTAAAATCCTGCGGGGGCTTTTGTGCATGTTCCTGGGGTGCACTAAAAATTCCCGGGCACAGACCTGCAGGCTTCTGTGAAGATCAGCACAGCGCTGGACAGAACCAGCCCTAGCCCATTCCAGAGGCCTCTACCCAGGCTGAGTATCAGCTTGAGGGGGGAGTGGGGTGGGGTAAAGGCCGGTGACTCCATCTCTCCATTCACACAGTTACTTTGTTGAAGAACTGCACTGACCTTCCAAGTGAAGACCCTCACCCAGGAGAGTGTAAACAGTCTCGAATCACCCAGGAACCGCAGAGCTGTGTTTGTTTTGTCATCTGTCTCCTGGAAACCCCGTCCTTGGCTACACTATGGACCAATTGTGATCACGCCTTGCTCATTTTCATTCTGCTAGTTTAGTGTAGAAATAATAGGGATACTGTGTGGGCAACATGGGGTCCCAGCCAGGACCGTCCCTACCTTTCCTCTAAGGACTCACAGTCTAAACAGCAAGTGTCGCTTTTGCTCCTACCCTGCGCTAAAGGTCATGTGGAAGGTCATTTGTAGTCCCTACGAGCTGTGCAGAGGGAAACAGAGAGAGACACATTTTAGAAAGCGTTTTCTTTTCTGGGGTTTCTGGTCCCTTTGTTCGGGGTGTGCCTGTCTACCTCTCTGTACTTCTTCTTCTGCTGTTACCAGGTGAGCGCAGCCTGGAAAGCCAACCTCACAGAGCAAATGCAGTGACAGTGCCATCCCATTTCCCCTTCACAGCAGCTGACTGAGGCAGCCCCTCTTTCTCTCAGACCCGTTTTACAGAATGGGACACTGAGGATCAGGGACAATCACCCCCAGTGGTAACATCACTAGTTAGCAGTCAAGAGGGGATTTGAACCAGGTTTCCTGGCTCCCGCCCTGCTCCTAACCTTTGCAGTTCTGACTCTACCAGTGAAGCTTAGCGGATGGGTGTGGCACCCTGCAGCACGCCTGGGGCTTATGAATTCCCAACTGCAGTAGTGGCGGCTGCTAGTGCTGAGGTTGTGACTTGCTTCTCAGATAGCTCTCCCCAAGCAATGCCCAGGGCCATGTCCCGTAGTTGGAGTACTTTACATTGCCTGTGGATTCCAGCCCTGTTCTTGCAAATGATGCAGAGCTGAGAGCAGTCCCTGCAGGGCCCTGTTTCTTCCTTTTTGACAAGGCCCTGCTCTCCCTCCTGCTGGCTCTGTCCTTCCAGCCGGGTGTGAACCCAGCAGCGCACTGGCCAACCTGTCACCAGCTTGTGCACCGGTCTCCCTGATGTGATGTTCTCCCCTCCAACTTTGGCAGCCTGGGGGCAGAGGCGATGCTCCTGTAGCCCTGGCTCTCTGTTGCTGGCTCTTCTGCAGTGGGTCTTTGCGACTCTTCGGCTTGTCTGGAGGTGTCACCTGCTTACTTTACTGGTCTTTATAACCAGAGCTGAAGAAGCATCAGCTTCGGGGATGATTTGGAATCTTAACACTCACTGTGTCCTCTATAACTTGAACAGAGGAGTGGGGACTATGGTGGGAAGCCAGAGAGAGAAATCAGAGAGAGAAGCTGGGCAGATGGGTGTGGGAAGGGCACCTGGCTGTTGTGCCAAGGAGGTGGAGAGCTTTCCTGATGGGAGGACTGGAGGGAGCTCCTGCTGTGCTCTGTGTGTCGGGTTGTTCTGCCCATCTGGATGCCCTATAGGAAACGTGGACTTGTTATAGGACAGGGAGAGGGGCAGCCCAAACCCCGCAAACCTGCCTATTCTAAATGGGTTCTGCCATCCGCCGCATCAACACAAAACATATGACACTTTAATGGGAAGGAACTTTAATAAAAACTAGGAAACAATACAGGTAAGGCAAAGAGTCTAGTTTCTAAATGAAGCACCCAAAGTCACCCATCCCCTCGTGGGTAAAACTCCATCCATATGGGATCGGCCCAGAGCAAGGCCCCAAAGCCTGCCACAAGTCTAAAACATCTTCCAGTGGGGATCCACAGAAAAGGGTCACAAACAACCGGACAAGCCCGGAAGGAAAAGAGCAAAATCAACATCAAGATAAAAGCTGCCATTGTCACCTCCCCACGGGTCTCACCCACATCTGTGTCACCCAGTCCACGACCCAAAGACAAGCGCAGTTTCTTCACGTGTCTCTAGGCTCCATGCGTCTCCTCCAGGTCTCCTGGCTCCATCCTGCTTCCTTCCTCAGTCTCTTCTGCAGCTTCTCCTCTTCCTGCTCAGCTCCACCCTCCCTTGGGTGGGGCAGGGAACCTCCCCCTTTCCTGGGGACCACCCTGTTGCAGACTCCTGGCGGAGCTGCAGCCAGAGCAGGCTCTGCATTGCCAGAGGGGCCTCCCACCCACCCCAGTCAAGAGGCCCAGTAAGAGTCAGAAGCTGACTCTCCAACTTCCACCTGGCCAGAGGCCACCAGCCACAGGGATCAGAAGACGTCCAGGTACTTCTGCACACCGTGAGAGCTGATGGACAGAACAGGGCCTATGCTGCTTCCGGACTCACAACAACATGGCTAAAGTTGCCTGCAACCAGCATCTCCAGAAGTCATTAAGCATGCATGTCCTGGGCCTCCCTCATATGCTTCCAAACCTAATCAAATCTGACAGTTACCTGTGCCAAGAATTGCTTTATGCCCTTAGGTGTGCAATTGCCAAGAACTCGCCCCCCAAAGAGGTGGGTGCTGCTATTATTCTTCCCAATTGCCACATGAGAAAACTGGCTTAGAGAAGGTAGGCAGCCCCCCAAGTCACACAGCCTACAGATGGGAGAAGTCACATATAACCAAGGTCACACAGCCCCAGAACCCTCTTCTGGCCCATTTGAGAAGCTGCTATCTCAGACAATGCCTGTCCACTCTGAGCTATGGCTTTTCAGTCTTCTGGCTATTTAGTACTTGTAGGGTAAACAAAGATGCCTTGGGCTTTTTGCACCATTGGCCTCTGTGGCTCTCACCTGCCGCCTTGAAGGAAGCACTTGGAAGCATGGGCTCAGGGTACGTCTGACAGCGGACACCTGGAGCGTGGTGTGGGCATGCGTGAGTGGGTGCTCCTGAGCTGAGAGACAGAGCCTATAAGGGCAGCGTAACAGAGGGCAGGGTGCAGCAGCAGGCCAAAGGGCAGAGTGCATTGGAGAACAGCTATGGAATAGGATGGCAGAGAGGGCGGCAGAACGACTACAGAGGAAGAGACCACGAGACTATGCCAGAGAGAGCCCAAAGAGGGAGTAAAGATTTACCAGCCTGCAGGCTTGCCCCACAGCAATTGGCATACAAAGAGCATTAAAAAGCCTGCAAAAGCCATTGACAGCTCCAGGACTCTCCTTTACCGGCTCTCCAGAATCGATAGAAAAGCTGCCCCCGTGCCTTGCTGGCATAACCGTACTTAATTGCATGTCATCTGTGTATTGAAAAAATCTCATTGAGCTATAAAATCCCTATTCATATGAACAGTAACCATGCTCCTTGGGATTTATCCAAAGTAGTTGAAAACGTCCACACCAAGCGTGTGGAAGCTTTATTTGTGCTCATCAAAACTTGGAAGCAACCAGGATGTCCCTCAGTAGCTGAATGGATGGAAAAACTGTGGTCCATCCAGTCATAAATTTTATCTAGGGCTAAAAAGAAATGAGCTATCAAGTGATGCAAAGACATGGAGGAATCGTAAACGCATCTTCCTCGGTGAAGAAGCCTGTCTGACATTTGCCCAAGTAAAAAGATGAGTGATGGCAGGGATTAGGGGAGAGAGGGATGAATAGGTGAAGCACAGAGGATTTTAAGGCAGTGAAACTTCTCAGTCTGGTATCATAATGATGGAATGGTCGTTCTACACGTGTGCAAACACATGCAACTCCAAGCGTGAACCCGGATGTAAACTCCAGCCTCGGAGTGATGATGAGGTATCCGCAGAGGGTGAGCATTTGGAACACCTGGAGCCTTCTGGCAGCGCGTGAATCATGCGGCGTGAGGGTTATGGGAAATCTCCACCTTCCTCTTCATTTTGGTTCCTCTTCCTCTTCAAAACTGCTCTAAAAAGTAAGTTTACTTTAAAAAAAAATCATATGGTCGTTTTTGGTTGATCAACCCCCTGGCTGCTGTCTGAGTGAGGAGGCCTTATCTTCCCTGCCTCTGCCTGTAAAAAGGTTCTTAACCTATTTGGGAGGCATTTACCCCTTTGAGGATCTGACAAAAGTACAGATTCTCTTCATATAAAGTACTTTCACAGACACAAACACATTTTCTGTCTAATAGCCAAGATTCCCAGGAGACGGTGGACCCCACGTTGAGACCCCCAACCTCGATAACACATTAATCTTCCCTCAACAATATCCCCAGCCCTCACTCTTCTCTTTGCCTCTTTTAAAATGGCAAGAAGGAAACAATACCACAGAAAATTATTTGGTTGGAGGCGAAGTAATTCCTTGGTCCTTATAAACATTCATCTTAATTAAAGTGCTCGTTAGGAGGCCATAGCTCAGGGCTGCCAGGAGGCAGGCTAAGACAGAAAACCTCTCCGGATTATGAAAGCCCATTGCTTACTGAACCAGGGACTCTTATGACTGAATGACCCTCTGCCTTGGGTAACTTTAAGGAGTCTATTTGGCAGCCGATGTGGGTTCTGTTTTCTTTGAAGTCAGTTTTTACCATAAAAACTGACTGTAAAATTATGTTCCTGTGGATTATTTAACAAATGTTCTTTCCTTACAATTCTACCTTGGGTAAGTAGGTTAAATCAATTAAGAAGCATCCTGTGCTGGTGTGTTTTAAGAGGCAACGTGGTGAGCCTATGGTACCCATGTATTTAATCAAGCACTGATCTAGGTGGTGCTGTGGAGGTATTTTGTAGCAGGGGTGGCCATCAACAATCAATTGACTTTAAGGAGATTATCCTGGATAATGTGGATGGCCCACCCAATAAGTTGAAAGGTCTTAGGAGCAAAGAACTGAGGGTTTCTGAGAAGGAAAACATCTGACCTTGCCTATAGCATTACCCCTGCCTGAATTTCCAGCCGCCCCAATTGTGTGAGCCTATTCCTTAAAAGAAATTTCAAAGATAGGGCCTCCCCTGCTGGCGCAGGTAGTTGAGCACTGCACCGTGAAGCTGTCCGCAGCCTCTGCAGCACCAGTTCGATCCCCAGCAGGCCGGCGAGGGTCCCACATGGTGCGGCAGACCTCTCCTGTCTCGCCCGCTGCTCCCCTCAGCAGTGGATTTCGTCAGTCTGCCTGTTCTGCTCCCTGCTCTGTCTCTGGTGAATCCTCTCACCCTCCCGCGCATTTGACCTGTACCCCGGTTCTTGTATAAATAATAAATAAATAAATAAGTAATTTCACAGATAGATGGACAGATAAATGATAGATGGAAAGATAGATGGATGGGTGGATGGACAGATGCTGAGTAAAAAGAGAAACCCTATTACACTGTTGGTGGGAACATAAACTGGCACAGCCATCATGGAAGGCAATCTATTTACCTTCAAAAACTAAAAATGGAAATACCATGTGACCCAGCAACCTCACTCCTGGGCATCTAGCCAAAGAACATGAAACCATCAGTGTTAAAACCTATATGCTCTGCAGTGTTTATTGCAGCACTAAAGACAACAGATAGGACATGGAAACAACCTGAATGCCCATGGGTAGAAGATTGGATCAAGAAGATGTTGTCCAGCCATACTATATATAATACTACTCAGCCATAAGGAAAGATGAAATGCCACCATTTATAGCAAAATGGAGAGCGTGTGAGGGAATTATGAGTCATAAACCAAATCAGAATCACAAAGACAAAATACTGGACATCTCCATAATGGATGATTTGACAGGAAAATACAAAAACTAGCTGTAGGGTAAGTGACGGTCAGGCTTTTACGCAGCTGGCCTCTGTGGCCATCACCTGTGGCCTTGCATGCACTTGGGAGCAAGGACGCAGGGGCACACGTGCCTGATTATGGACCCCTGGAGTATGGTGTGGGCATGTGTGAGTGGGCACACCTGAGCCTGGAGCCTGAGGTTATCAGGGTGGCATCACTCAGAGACAAAAAACAGCTATGATGGAACGCCTAAGAGGAGAGACCATGAGAGAAAGGTCAGAGTCCAGAGAAAGAAAAGGGTAAAGATTTGCCAGGGGCCAAAAGGGCTGCCAGCCTCCTGGTCCCCTGGCCTCCCTGCCTTGCCAACCTATGGTCTTGCCCCACAACAAGTGGCATAGAAAGAGCAATAAAGCCTGAAAACCACTGAGGCTCCAGGACTCCCCTTTAGCCACCTGCCCAAATTGATAAAGACCTGCCCTGGGCTTGCTGGCATGACACTCGTGGACTTTAAGGCTAAGAGGGGGGAGGCAGGGGGAAGGGTCACAGGGGTACAAGGCAGGCGGTAGGAAAAACCAAAAGCAAACAACGAAAACACTAGAGATCCTTTCCTGGCTGCGGTCAGAGAGGGAGATGTGACTACAGACATGAGGTTAGAGAGCTGCAGTGTTGAATTTGAAGCTGGAAGAAGAGGGTAGCAGGTGGCTTCTAGAAGCTAGAAAAAGCCAGAAAGCAGACTCTCACCTGGAGCGTCCAGAAAGGAACATAGCTGTGCCAGCATCTTTATTTGGCCCACGTTGGACTTTCAACCTATAGTCCTGTAAAATAATGTTTTTTAAGTCAAAATAGAAGGAGGGAGGGAGGGAGAAAAGGAAGAAGGAAGAAAATGTTTCTCTCTCTCTCATCTACCCACCAATCCATGCACCCGTCTACCTGCCCACCCATCCACCCCTCCATATTTATCTATTGGTTCTGTTTCTCTGGAGAACCTGAACTGATACACATTTCAAGGAGCACAGCAATCTATGTGGAAAGATCTGCATGTTATCAAATGACACCTGTTCTTCCACCACCATCACCCCCCCATGCCCAGGGCTCCTGGCCCCAGGAAGAGAGACACAAAGTTCGGATGGTGAGCTGGGAAGAGGACAGTCAATACGGTGCTTCTCCCCTGGGCAGGGGATCACCCTGGCCAGTGGGGGAGGTGTGGAGAAAGGAAAGTTTGTAAAAAATACAGACTCTCTTGTTCCCATCTCCCAATGTTCTCTATCAAAATGTCTGGACCTAGAACTTGGAATTTTAATCACCCCTCAGATTCTACAGCAGGCGACCTCAGGAACAGCCCATAGGATGAGCTTCAAAGTTACAGACCAGACTGAAATGTGTTCTCCACCTCCAGAGCTTTCTCATCAAGTCCTCAAGTTCTGACCCTGGGAGCCCAGGGTCTGGTTTTTCGCCTATCTGGGCCTTAAGATTAGTGGCATGGCCTGGCTGTGTTTGTTGGAGCCTGATGCTGTACGTCAGGTAAGGCACGTGCCAGCCTGATGGCTCTTGCCGAGCAGCTGAGCCCCTGCACTCACACCAGACCACCCGGAGCTCAACATCCAACTTGGTCTTTTCCTGACTTCTTTTTTTTAACTGACTCTTCTTATAATTGCCTGTCACACAATTTCTTTTTTCCTGCAATTGTGGCACCAACATATAGACGAATTATCTGACTTGCCAATCCATTAGCAGTTTTGGCTTCCCCCTCCACAATTCAGAGTTTGAGCAGTAAAATATAAATATCTTGGTCTCAACACCCAGTGACTTCAGTTTCATACTGATCTGAACTTCATTTTGTGGTGCGGACCGTGCTGAGTAAGTCGAAAGGAGCCCCGGACTCATTCCAAGCCTGTAACAGTCACCAGCTTCAGAGCCTTCCCTCCCCAGAACAGCCTCCTGGGGTGTACACAGAGGAGTTTGTCCCTCCTCCAGCAAAGGGGGCCCATCCCTGTGCAACCTCAGGGCATGTGTTCTTATTATATGGTGTGAACATTGTTGGCCTGTGCTGGGGAATGATGGATGAGGCTGACCTGACATTTCCCTGGAGATTTCAAGTCGGGAATCGAGGTCTTTAATGGGAAGACAGCCTTGGGGATACTGGGAGGGGGTGACTGGGGCATGGGAGCAGGACAGTGGAGATGATACCAGTCGTAAAAAAGGAAGATAAGGAGGGAAGACCTCTTTCCACCATGCCTGCGAGGCTGACACAGATCATCCGCCCTCGGACGGTGTTTGGTACGGGGGTCTCCTGTGGCCTCCCAGCCCTGTTTCCTTGCCTCCATTCCTTACCTCTGACCTTTCTCTACAATCCTACCAGGAGAGGAAATGCCTGGAAAACATCACTGCCCTAGCCAGTGTTGGAGGCCTTGCAGGGTCTGTTTAGTTTTTAAGTTCTGATTTTATCTTGTTTATAAAATCCATATGGTGAGAGAGAAAAGAAAGGAGCACCCTATGATTGCTGGGAGGCAAATGAAGTCAAGCTGCTACTAGAGCAGGTTTGCTCCTGCAGCTGTGGCATCTGTCTAGGCCTGGCTGTGCTCGTTGCCTGCCTCACAGCGTTTCCTCAGACCAGCCTCTCTGCTTATTTGAGAGCAAGTCATGGAAGCACTTAGTAGAAGTGAAAACTCAAGGTTGATGTCCCAGTATTGAGGATGACATCCAAGCTGTTTGGTGACCTTGAATGAAAGTAGCCTTTTCTATCCTGGCATCATTCTCCCAACCTGAAAGATTTGTTGGAGAATTGATTGAACAATGGTTGTGGGCACCTTGTGAATACAATTTGAACTTCACGCTAACGCAAGTCTCATGGTCAGCACCTGCCCCGCCAGCTGTTGCTCCTCTTTGCCTATCTATCTGGAACACCCTCCCTCTCCATTTTTTTGTTTAACAAATTCTTACTCAAACCTAAGTAAATATCATTCTGTCCAAGAAACCCTTTTCAGCCTTCTTGAACCTTTGGTTGTTTGCTTTACTGAAAGCAGAGTGTTGTCGTCATAGGTTTCTAACCTGCCTCCAACACTAGAACCTAAATTCTTCTAAGGGTAAGAACTATGTCTTGTTCTTTTGTAAATCCTAAGGCTTAGCACAGAGTAAAAACAATGTGAATAAGTGGATGGACAGATGGATACGTGGATGAATGGATGGATAGGTGCATGGATAGATGGGTGGATGAATAGATGGTTGGAAGGATGGATAGTTGAATGAATGTCTGAATGGAATGAAACATGCATTCATGGATGGATGGATGGATGGATGGATGGATGGATGGATGGATGGATGGATGGATGGGTGGATGGGTGGATGGATGGATGGATAAGTGGTTGAATGGATGGGCAAATTTTGTGGACATATCTCAAGAACCACTAACAGTTGACAGCTGCTTTCTCAATTATCTCTGAATATTGTGGTAAAATTATTCCCCTGTCTTCAGCGGATATCAATCAGTAATTGGTACAATAAGTGTAGGAGGACTAGTAGACTTTTAGTGAAATCATAATTCACTCAACTCTACACCTGAAATGTGGGTGTGGGAGATTTCAGCCCAGCTAGGTCTCCCTCAGGAGTCTGCCCACAGCAGTTTGGATGCTGGTCCCAGTGGAGAGTGATGAGATTTGCTCCACTTTTCAAACCCGCTTGAAAGATCTTCCCTGGGAAACCCCCAAAATATGCCAGAGCTTAGTGATCAGAAAGGGTTTCTCAGCACCCTTTATGAATCTTTCAAGCTGTGGAATAAAATTACTCCTTCTCGTTAAGATGGAACATGGTATTTAATAAGATCGCTGGATCAGAAACCAGGACATCTGCTCTTGGCCTGGTTCTGCCACTAATTTGCTCTGGGATTTGGGGCCAGTCACTTCACCTCACTAGACCTCAGCCTCTTTGTGAGAAAAATGGGAACAGCACAAATCTCAAGGTCTCATCTGGCTCTATCATGTGTGATTTTAGTTTCTGCAGGGATGGCGAGCTTCAGAGCAGACTACCTGGACTGGGCCCTTGGCTTGCTCCTCCTGACTCCAGATGTCTCCTCCTGTTCTCCCACAGCCAAAGAGGAAGCTGTTTATCATGGAGGTTATGAGCACAGAGCTTAGCTTCACCATCTATTGGCTCTGTGGCCTTGGGTAAGCGACTTAACGCCTCTGTGCCTCAGTTTCCTTGTGTGAAGGTGATATAATGAAAGGACCCATTCCTTAGAGCAATGAGAGTATGAAGGGACATAACACACCAGATGTGCCTGTCGTGGTAGGCACTGACGAGATATGCACCATTACTAATGCATCTGCAAGAGACAGAGGGTGGAAGCCTTGGTTTCTGGTTTCCGGTGGCTCCTCCTGAGTCCTCCCTGAGAGTTCAGTGCAGGACATGCAGGTCCATCCTGTTTTTTAAATGTGTGCAGCTTACACACTTGGCAAGTGCCTGGGCCAAGGAATGGAGCCAGAGAGGCTTGAAGTAAATCACTGTCTAGGTAAGGGGCCCGGGTGCTAAGCTTGCTCTACACTGAGGAAGCTGAGGCACAGAGGGGCTTGCTCACCATCACACAGCAGCATAGGACAGAGAAGGGTCAGCGGGCATCCAGCAGGCCCCCCAGCTTCCCAGCGAGCAAAGGCCTTGCCTGACTCCGTCTCCCAAGTTGTTCTACCTGGAGGACACTCACCCCTGGCCTCAAGGCTGACTGACCACAGGGCAACCTTTAGACACAGAAGATCCCACAGATAAGATGGTTCATCCCATAGCGCCCTTGAGAGCAGGCATTCCTCATTCATGGTTTTGACTCTTTGCTGGGACAGGGAGATGCCTTGGTACTAGAAGACTGAAGGGGACTGAGATGGGAAACTTGGGAAGAGGGACTGAGGGACCAGGAAAGTGGGGAGAGAGGAAAGAGAACCCAGGAGACACACTCCTCCAAATGGCTCTGTAGGGAAGGCTTCCTCTGTGGCTTGGCTTGTTGTGTGAGGAGCAGGAGGGACAGAATCAGCAGGAGGTGGTTACCCGTGGCACAAGAGAGGCCTTCCAGAGCACACAGGAGAGGCCCAAGAAAGACAAAGATGCCAGTAAGAAGAGCACGGGAGACCAACCCAGACTTCTAGTAAACAAGTGCTCAGACTACTTGGGCAACTTTCAGTGTAAACTCAAACACGAATGAGTCCATTTTCACCTGCTAGTTTGGCAAAGTTTACCAAGATTTACAAAGATTAGTAATACTTAATTTGGGTGAGGGCGTGTACTCTGGGACACCTAAAACAGAGGGTGTTGGAAACCAACATCGCCTCAGTGAGCATAAATTTAAAAAAAAAGCTGTGCAAATACATGTATGGGCGTGGAAAGAATGTGAAAATATGTTATCACGTGAACAACAGCAGAGTAGCAGTCAACACGCACCATATGATCTCACTTTTTGAAAGTAGCTTATTATCTACCGCTGTGGACTGAGCTGTGTCCCTCCCGGCCGAGTCCTAAGCTAAGCGCTAAACCCCAAGATGCTGTATTTGGGAAAGGGCCTATGAGGAGGGGATGGAGTTCATTTTCCTTCCTCTTTTTCCTTCTTTGTATTTTTCATCAGTACATCGTTTATGTACTAGTATTGAAATGAGAGGTTATTCCGTGTGCTTTATTCTTTATAATTTTTTTAAGAGGTAGTGAGCGGGCCCTGAAGCCAATGTCAGGAGGGCTCAGTGGACCCCGTGGCTCAGCCACGCGAGGCCGTCCTCAACAGTGCGCCTGGGAGGAAAGCAGACAGGCCCGCCGCCTCTCCCTTCTCACCCCAGGTCCGCCACTTGTACACCATGTCCAGGGACATGCCCCTGCATGTGTGTGCCCCCCAGTGGGCTGTGGGCTCTCCCACACCCTCACACTGTGCACACATGGCCTTCTCTACCCTCAGCCCCGGGGTATACACCCCCAGGAGCCTGTGCACCTCCTGGAAGCCTTTTGGGAACCATTAAAGTGGGCAATTCCAGAGCAGGTAAAGCTATCCCAGGGCACGGTAGGACCCTGGGATTAAAGAAGTGGCTCCTCAAGGTCCTCTCTGCCTGTTACTGAGAGCGACAGATCTGCCGTCTTCAAGGCCCCCCACTTGTCTCACATTTGGTTGCACTCCCCGCTGCTAGTCACTGCTGAGTTTTCACAGGTGGTCCCCTCTGCTAGAGGGATCCAATTCTCTGATCTTTCATGGCAAGAGAAATCCGCAAGATTACCAAGCTCTACAGAGGCCCCAGGATCCCAGAGGTGGGAGGTCCCCACAGCTATTGTGATCATAAAACAGTGGGGGGTGGGCATGTCTGGATGCCTGGGGGAGGTGAGAGGTGCCCTGGGGCTGATGTAGGAAAATCTGGGTGGTATCCTGGCTTGGTCAGCCACTCCAAGAACTTGATGCATGACCTCGGACTGGTCATCTGACAAAAAGGGAGGTTGTGAGCCGCCAATAAAGTAAGGCATGTGAGAGGGGACAGGCCCCAGTGGACATGCAGGGGAGCAGGGTGAGCAGTGGTGGAGCGTGAGGGTGGGTCTCAAGTCTCCACTACCCAGCTGGGTGACCAGGGGCAAGTTGCTCCCCTGCTCTTGACCCCTGACTCCTGGGGTGGCCTAACTCTACCTCCCTTGGGGATAAAGAAAGGTGCGGTGACCTTATGGGTGACCTCACCAGAAGGCTGTGGACAGGAAACAAGAGGCCCAAACTGGCTGTAGACAAACTCAGCTGTGGCATGAAAACCAGGATGTGTCACTTAATGCGCCATCAGTGGCGCCATTGTCCTACCCAGTGCTGAGCGTCCTTCTGCGCAGGCTTGCAGGTCACGCCCACCCCCACCGAGGCCCTCTAAAGGGCAGGTCCAGAGGTGCAGATGGAAGGAAGGGGCGGAGGGGAAGGCCCTTCCTCCTGTTCTGCTCCCTCACCCCGACTGCCCCTAGGGGAGCCTCTGCACCCAGGTCACTGGTTGCTGCCTGGCTCTGTCCTTCTCTGCCTCCCAGCACCCCAGTCACTGGCCCTGGGATTGAAGTCTCTCCCCACCCTGGCCCAGCATTCCCAGCCTCTCTCCATCCATCCTCCACGGGGAAACAGCTGCTTCCCTTCCAGCGTGACTGGGGTTCTCCGGAACACTTCTAGCCAAACCACCAGTTGGACAGAATTGACCAAAAAGAAAAGAAAAGGGGAAATTTCAGCTGAGACCAAGCAGCAAAAAGAAGTCAATATTAACTTTACATCCATCTCATACTACATTTATTTTCAACTAAGATATTAAATCGTTTACAAGAACCCTCCAGAAATGATATGCTATTTATTCTTCCATGGAAGGCAATTTGAAAGACTCTTTTTTTTAAACAAGGATAAAAGAGCAATATAATATGCCAGAATACATATTTTTATAGAAAAACAAAAAAGATAATCTATTTATAGTGTGTAGTTAATGGATATTTAAAAAATCTTTTCAGTTAATGGCCACATGTGGAACTATTCCGTCAAGAGCTGAGCTGACTTTGTGAGGGGAGAGCAGGGGACTCTCTGGTCTCTGACTCAGGGATGGCTGAGCCTGGGGGGGCCCCAGAGGCCCCATCATCTCTTCCGCTTTTCCGGAGTGAGAGGCTGGAGTCCAAGTGGTGACTCGTGTTGACTGGACACCTCCTGTCTCCCAGGTGTTCCACATTGTGAACTCACTTTGTCCTTCTCCCAGATATGAGCTGAGACCCCAGAAGCCCTGCTTTGAAGGGCAGAAATGAGCGGCAGAGAGGATGTGGGATGCCATAGGCTGCCTGGGCTCTGCTCCTTCCATACCATCTCCACTCTCCCGCTGCCAAGCCTGCCTGCATTCTGGGAGACGACAGGGCATGGGCTGCCAGCGCATGGCAGGAGCATGTAAGAGGAGACACAGCAGGGCAGACGAGAGGGCCAGGGCTAGTCTCTGGGAGTGCCTAGCGGGGAGAGTTGGGGGACAATCCTTGTGAGGCCTCCCTGAGAGGGCCCAAGGAAGCATCAGGCTTCATGGGCCAAAGGGGCCAGGGACTGCCTTCTCTCAAGACTTGTGAGGTCTCCAGGTTCCCAACTCTGGAGTATGAGGACTACTCCCTGCCACCATCTCAAGTGGCCATGCTTCGGGAAACACCCATGGTGGAGGTGCTGGTGGAGTTGATGGAGGTGGTGGTGGAGTTGGTGGTGAAGAGGGACACCAGGGCCTGGTCCCAGGCCTCTCAAGGACACTGCCCTTCTTCCTGACACTCTCATCTTTAACAAAAGAGCACTTTAACATCAAGTGCTCCCTCAGGCACTTGATGGAGAAAGCCAGGAGGACAGACATCCCAAAATCAATGTGACTTAGAACCCAGTGTTGGTCGCATTGTCGTGAGGACCCATTGAGGCTAAGGAGGCATCAAGGGTGTGGAGCCTGCTGATCTATTTTCTTTCCATTAAATAATTTTCATTCTGCCTTCTTCCAGAAAGTACTAAATGGAGTCAGCTAAAAAGTTCCCCTAGCATCTTTTCTTTATTACAAAAATAATTCATTTTCATTGTAAAAAATAAAAATACAGGTAAAAACCTGTTCATCTCCTCTTCCATTCACATGCAGTTAAACATCGTGCATATGTTGGTATTTATTCATCTGGACTTTTTTTCATATAGAAATATACTTGAAAATACTAACTTGACAAAAGCAGGATTTATCTGATTATTATTTCTGAACTTTATTCTTTTCCTGGTGAATTGTGAATATCCTACCATGTCACTAAATAAAAATAAGATTGTTATTTAATTTGCAGTGGCTCTTGGCCTTCTATTGTAAGATTGTGTTATCCATTGTAAACAACTCACTTACCAGCTTTTCCCCTACTTATTCATGACTGTAAGTGTTAATAGTAGATGGGACGCTTTCATACAGAACACAATTGAGCCCTAAATATACATGAAGCTGCGACAAGGTATCTCTCCCCCTTCCTTGTCTCATTCAAATTATAAAATACAAACAATGGCTAATCATAAAGGAGAGTCAGCAAAATTCTGCAGAGTCTCTAATGGTTCCTCCAATTCTTTTTTGAAATATTCACTATATAATTCTTCTAAAAAAAAGATTTCCTTGTTTTGCTGACACCTGAACATATGCTTAAAGGTCTCCCTTGGTGCTCTGTTGCTGCCGTGTCTTGGAATGACTTCCCCCAAAGAGCTGGCAGGGCCAAAGGCTTGTGTCACTGAGGATCAGAGCCCAGTGGTCTTCCAGAAATGACAGTTTACTGTCCCATGTCAGTACTGATGGCCTCTAGAACAGTGGTCCTGATGGGCTGCCCCAGCCAGCGCAGGTCTGTGTGATTCCATCTGGGACACTCAGAGGACGCCAGCCACGGTTCTCAGAACACAACCGTTGATAAGTGACATGTGACTGTATATTTTTTGAAAGCGAACCTATTTCTCCAAACTCTCTTTTGCTCATCTCTTAGGAAAGAAGCACCTTCTCTTTGTTTTCTTATGCACCCTATTGAACAGTGGTTTCAAAATATTAATGGATCACGTGTCCTTCTTGTAAGAATAGTTAGTTCTTATTCTGTTTGTTTTATATGGAACTATTTGTCTCTTTCTTATTGTCTATCAAACTTCTTTGCACTTTAAGGATATTAAACCCTGTTTGTCAGATGTGTCACAGCTGTTGTCCCAGATACAATGTACTTTCATGTTTTTCATTAAGTGTTTTAGATTTATGAGCAAAGTATCTTTTATAGTCATTTCTCCCAATATATTACTCAATTGATTTTTCCCCGGGTGTTATGCTTAGAAAGTTCTTCCTCCTACAAGTTCATGTCAAATATCCCTTTTTTTCCTGGTACTTTTATGTTTTTTGAGGACAGATAATCCATCTGTAAGTTATTATCATAGATCTTATGAGGAAGGAATCTAGCTTGACTTTTTTCCAAAAACTTGGCCCGTTGTTCCAAATCCACGTATTGAGTGATTCATTCTTTCACACTTAATTGGAACATTATTTTTACCATATCCTAATTATTTCTATGGAATTAGAGCTCTTTCTATACTTTTAATTTTGTTCCTAAGACAATATCACTCTGTTTATATTTTTGTCACTTTAAAAATATATTTTAATATCTGGTAAGATGAATGCCCTGCCTACTTCTTTTTTTTTTTTCTTTCAACCTGACCAGTTTC